TGTGAACTTGCCCTCTGGAAAGCTTCACACCACCAAAGGCTTGAGCTTCCTTTGGGTGGAGGACCGCCGGATGCTGATCATTGACTCTGCCGGTGTGCAATCCCCGGTCTCCTACCGTGCGCAGGCAGTCGATGCGATTTGGGATGCGCGCAACACCGAGACGCTGGTCCTGGAAATGATCTCTCGCATCGCTCATCACATGATCTTCGTGGTAAGTGACACTACGTGGTTCGAGCAGCAGAAAGTCGCCGAATTGCACCAGAAGTACGTGCAGCGCCGGCAGCACAGAGAGCTGATTGTTGTTCACAACTTGAGCACAACCTCCCAAGTGGAAGTTGCACGTGCCCTGTTTGAGCGGCAGGTCACACGGTGCTACGATGGTGTTCCGTCGCACTTGGGCGACTTGATCTTCACGGCGGATGCTGGCGAAGGGACACCTCCGGTACACCATATTGGACTGTGCCAGGAGTATTCAGCAGCCGGGGACAGGTTCAATGGCAAGAACAGGGAGTACCTCTTGCAGAGCCTGGAGCATGGAAGCATCCTGGGTTCGCATTTAGCCCTTGCAGAGACGTTCAGCGCGGAGTTGTCCAAGCTGATGCCGAAGTTCGCCAGCATCGAAGCAGGCGTGCCTGAAGTGGCCGCCAACACGACTGGTGCTGCGACGCAAGCGATCTCTGTGAAGTTCTGCACAAGAGCCGAGGCGACAGAGGGGGAGACTGGGATGGCCGGCTACATGCGCGTGGGCTCCATGATGTTGCATTCACTGCCCGGCGATGCCCAGGTCGTGATGAAGACGAGGGGCGTCATTTCGGACTTGGGGGAGATCACTTCCCACGATGTCAGCTTCCGCCCAATCACGAATGTCTTTGACCGTAAAATGGACTCGGACAAAATGCATTACATTCGTATCGAATGCCCGGGAGTCACTGATGACGACCTCGACTTCCAACTGCTCGCCAATGGGGTCAAGATCATGATCGAGAAGAAGCGGCCCATCAAGGAGGAAACCGTGGAGGAGGTGCAGCCCATTTTGCAGCACTACGGCTCCTGGCAGAAGGAATTTGATTTCGACCGATCTGACGGCACTTTCCAGGTCTGCGAGGACAGCATCAAACTGGAGAATGGCGTGCTGGAGGTGCCCCTCAAGATGACCCAGAACCGCAAGTTCAAGCTCGCAGGTGCGCGCAGATCCGAGCCGGATGCGAAAGCGCCGTCTCCGGTGAGATCCGAATCCGCTTGCTCTTTCTCGGTGGTGGGGAGTGAGCACTGATCACGAAACGACCGACGTAGGCAGTGCTCTGAAACGGGCACATGCAGCGCAGCTCTGTTGAGACAGCGTCGGGCGCTGTAGTACGGCGCTCGACCCCACCAGTTTCGTCTCTTGCCCGAGCCTGCGCACACGGGGCCTGTCCTAAACAAAGCGTGGGTGCAGCGCATGCCCTTGCAGAATTACACGCGATGAACGCAATGCAGACTGAGAGAGTGGAAGGCGACGGCCCGTGTCGCACAGGTCCGGCTACCGCTGGCTGCGAAGTTGCGGTTGAAGTATCAACCTTCCTAATTCGATGCGGACTCGCCCAAAGAAGCTCGAAGTACTGTGAGGGCAAGGTGGCCCCTGGNNACAAACATAGGTGTGTGTGTGTGTGTCTTCATTCTTCAGGACGTTCTGTTGGTGGAATGCAGGTTCGAGCTCAGGGCCGACAGTATGTTATCATGCAGCACTCCATGCATCACCGGCAACAGCGCAAGAAGAGCAGAAAAGGCGAAAGCTTCAAAGCGCACCTGCGGTCCCTTGCCCACAGTCTTAGCTGCGAAGGACACTTGCCGATAATGCGGCTTCGGGTCGCTCTGCGGCGCCGTGATCCCCGGATTAATGGCAGAGACTCACTTCAGTAGTCGATCGCCGTCATTGCGGCTGCTTTTGCTGTTGTCGTGCCTTCGTTTGGCAAGGTCGTGAGATGGGCGAATGATGGGCTAGCCTCCGACGTGAATCGAAGGCAGCAGGACCTTGGGCACATGCACATCCGAGCTCACCGGCTTTCTTCGCAATAACGCCCTAGGCCGAAACGTGCTTTTCTTCCAGTGATTCTTGGCTCAAGATCCGGACAACTCTCGCAGGGCAGTTGCCTGAGGCATGGCTTCTTCTTACTCCTGCGGGGGGCGAGGGACCGTGACCATGGACGAGGAACGAAAGCAGGTGCAGAGCCGGTACACTACTGTAAGGGTGCATGTTTTCACTCCTAGCAGTCCTAGCATTGCTGTAGTCGCTTGCAATTATTCGGATTGGTCCAAAGTCCTACTTAAATCTGTGCACGACAGCATCCACCTGAAGCCAACCTTGCCCATCGCCTCGCCTGGAGGCCACCTGGCAGCTGACAGCGGAAGATCTGCAAGGAGTGTCCAGTGGCCGCTATGTCCATGTGGAAGCCGACACCAGCAGCTGTTTCGGAAGCGCCAACATGCAACTCACGCATTTACTTCTCTATCCTCGCGGAGGCTGTGGTGGCCCAGCTGGCCAGGCCACTGTACAGTGTCGCCTCATCGGAGATCAAGCTGCATTCGTGTGGGTCCGCCTGGGCTCGACGAACCAGGTACCGTTACTGGCGCACCCAGGTCGATGGACTGACCCAGCGCATCTCCCGCAGCCAAGCCTGTCGTCGACTTGGACCGTCACCGTGAGAGTGTTCTCCAACGCGGAATTCCATTTAGAATTCCAGCACCAGATGCAAGAGCTAACAGTGGCCCGGGATCAGGAGCTCGC